AATTACAAAGCCTTTATGCCAACTTCTGGAAAATGAAAAGATTTTGAAAGTCATATACTAAGCTAGTAGGACTCTTAATGATGCTCAAATTAATAACACCACTGCTGAAAGAGAGTTGTTAGCCATTATTTATGCTTTTGATAAGTTTTGGTGATATCTAATTTGAGCTAAATGTGTTGTGCATACTTACCACTCGACTATTAAATATTTAATGCAAAAAAAGGATGAGAAATAAAAATTAATTAGATGGGTACTTCTTATGCAAGTGTTTGATTTTGTAATAGTCGATAGAAAAGTGACTGATAATCAAGTTGCTGATCATTTATCTAGGCTAGAACAGGAAGAAATACTTGATTTGGAAAAAGAAATTAATGACAATTTTCCTCATGAACAACTTTATGCTGTAAAAGATTGGAAAATACCTTGTTAAACTGATATTGTAAATTAAATTATTAGTGGTATTTTATCATATGGACTAACAAAATGACAAGAAAAGAAATTCATTCACGATGAAAAATCTTATTTTTAGGATTACCCAAATTTTTACAGATAATGCAAAGATTTAGTAATGAGACGATGTGCGTCTTATAAAGAAATTTAGGAGATTATCCAAAAATGTCGTGATTCTAAATTTGGAGGTCACTTTGGTCATGATAGAACTGTTCATAAAACCAGTTACAAAGAGAAAAGAAAGAGGGCCTATAAAAGGAGGCAACCTCTCAAAATAACAACAAAAAGGAGCTATCTGATATAAAGAAGAGGCAGCAAATCACTAGATAAAAGGAAATTCAATGGGGGAGGGATCCTTCTGCTCACCACAGATTCTTCAGTATAGACACCTCTTCTAGTCAGCTAATTGGAGAATTGGAGAATTGGAGGGTTTATTTCCTTCTCTGTGGATATGGGAGAACTTTATATGGTAGTTCTTTAGCAATTGATGAATCCCAGAAATCCAGCTGATTAAGTTCCATGGAGTGTCAAAGGAGCCCTTGATAATGTTGATAAGCTTCAAAGAGTCAGATTCAACCCATAGCTGGTTGAAGTGGCAAGATCTGGCTAAGTTGAGAGCCCAAAAAATAAATTGACATTCAGCTTCAAGGGGTCCAAAGCTTTAACAAGAGATTGAAAACGCAAGATGCACCTCCCCTCATGATTCCTGAAGACACCACCAATACCAGCATACCGAGACTTATAGCTACCACCAGTGTTAACTTTTGTCCATCCATATTTTGGAAGACACCAGCAGATTTTCAAAACTTTGGTAATGGAAGGATTAAAAGATGGGCTCAGCTCCAACACAGCTTCAAATTTTTTAAATTTAATCAGTTTTTATATAAATACAATACAGTTTAGGCCCACCTTCATTCGCTCTAAAGGAGAAGCTTCATACTTCAAATGGTTTCTAGCCATCCAAACAAACCAAGCCACCATGTTGGGGATGTCTTGAAGATTGATTCCCTTCCAATCTGACCAGTAATTATAGAATACCTCCCATGTTAGATTCATTGTTGGGACATTCAGCTTTCCATTCACAATAGACCAAACTTCCTGTACCCAGGGGTAGACAAAAAATAGGTGGGCAATTATTTCCTCATCAGTAAGGCAGAAAATGCATCTAGAGGGTCCTCTTAGACCCTTCAATTTAAATATATCATCAGTGGGAATCAATTTTAAGAAGAGTTTCTATATAAAGAATGACATGGAGGGAGTGAGAAATTTATTCCAAATTGTTTGACCCCAATCCACCACCTGTTGGGGAGGCTGAGAAGGTAGTAAATTCTTTTTGATAGTAATTTTGTCCTTTTGCCCAGGTTTAATAGAGAGTTTCAGAATATTGGAGATTTGAGAAGGGCTGCAAAAAGGAAGAATAGGAGTAAGATTCCACTTATCATGTTCCCAAAGGTCCTTCACATTCTTTGGAGAGGCTGGAGAATTTTGATCATTCAGAAGGCTACCTTCCAAAGACCAATTATCCCACCAGATGTTTACCAATCCCTCACGAATCTCCCAGACATACATTTGTTCATCTTCTTACCTAATCTGTAACATCTTTTTCCAAATGGGGGAATCCCCCAAACCCACAGATAATTGGGTAGGGTGTTGATGCTTGCAATATGTTCCCTTTAAGAATTCAGCCCAAAGTGAGGACTGAGATCTAAATTTGATCCAGATTTTTTAAAGATTAGTATGCATAATTTGGGGGAAGGACTTGAATCCTAACCCACATTCCATAAAAGGTTTACACACCTTAGCCCATTTAGTCCAGTGTTTTTGCTTCCTTTGACCAGCCCATAGAAATCTATTGAAAATCCCTTCTAATAATCTTTGAGTAGACTTTTTCAAGATATTCATTTGTAGAAGATAGGATGGAATAGAAGATAAAACACTTTTCAGAAGTGTTATCCTCCCCCCATTGGATAAAAAGGAATTCTCCCATGCTTGAAGTTTGCTTTGAATCTTTTCTAAAATGTGATCAAACTGAGAGTTTTTTGTTCTTCCTTTGATAAGAAGTACCCCTAGATATTTCATAGGAAGATGGCTATTGGTAAAGCCTGTGAAATCAGAAACCCAGGTCTTTAACTCACTTTTGCATTGTTTGTTGAAGATGAAGATGCACTTCTGCTTATTTAACTTCATACTAGAGACATCCTGAAAAATCTCCAAGCTTTGCATGAATAATCTAACAGAAGATTTGGAAGTTTTTGAAAAAATAATGATGTCATCAGCAAAAGACAAATGATTGATTAAGGTGGAAGATCTATGGCTATAAAGGGAGTGGGGTTTTTTGGTTGCCAACTCATTCCAAATTTTGGATAAGTAGTCAAAAACCAAAATAAAAATGGTAGGGGAAATAGGGTCACCTTGTTTGATACCTCTAGATGCACTAAAAAATACATGGGGAGTTCCATTGATGAAGATAGAATGAAAATTATTAGTCAGTCATCTGTTGATTAAAGAGATAATGGAAGGGGAGAAACCTCTGGAAATGAGAACTTGTTCAATAAACTTCCAACTGATTGTGTCATATGCCTTTTTGATATCCAGTTTGAGAATTAAGTTACCTCCTTTAGTTATTCTTTCCATATCCAATACCAAGTCTTGAGCCAAGAGCACATTATCAACAATACTTCTATCCTTGATGAAGGCTGCCTGATTCCTGCAGATAAGCTAATTTAAATGAGGTTGTAATCTATGGACCAGGACTTTGCTTATTATCTTAGATATAACATAAGTGAGGCTAATGGGTCTGAAATTTTCCCATTTGTGAGGAGTTTTTTTCCTTGGGAACCAAAGTAATAGTAGATGAGGAGAAATGTTTGGGGGAGATCAGCCCCCCAGAAAAAGCTTTGGACTGTAGCAATGACCTCACCCTTCACAATCAGCTAGGCCTTTTTATAAAAATCTGCTGTGAACCAATCAGGTCCAGCTACTTTTTTGCTGTCAATAGATTTAAGAGCTTCCTATATTTCCTTTTCATCAGGAATATCAGTGAGAGATAGGTTTTTGGTGAACTCCCTTCCTTATCAAACAAGGTGTATTTAATGGCAGGTTGAGAGGTAGGAGTTTGTTTGAAAAGTATTTTGAAAATATTGAACACATTATCAACTATGCCATCAGCAGTAGTAATCCAATGACCCTCCTGAGAAAGAATTTCATGAATTGTATTGCATTTCCTCCTATAGTTGATGCAAGCATGATAATATTTAGAATTTCTATACCCCTCACAAAACTTCATTCTGTTGGCCTTCTGAGCATAGAATGCCTCTTGCATGTTGATTGCACCAGCAGATGTTCATTAGCAGACTGAAGATCCATTTCAGACCCTATGCCAGAGGACATGAGTTGTTCGAACTATAATACCTTCTGTTCAGCCTATGTTCAGCCTCAAAGAATTTATTATCTATGTTCCCAACCACCTCCCAATTTCAATTAAAAAGATGTTTCTGACTTTTTTATGTAAAAGCCAAAGTTTTATACCAGGGATGTGATGATGAACATTAGTCCAAGCCATTGAAACTTGATTGAGAAAATCCCCATGCATGGACCACATATTGAGATATCTGAACTTGGATTTACTTTTAGAAGTGTTGGAAGATATCTAAATAAGTAAGGTTCTATGATCAGACCCACTCATGGCCAAGTGTTGGACAGAAGTATGCAAGAAATCTATGAACCAAAAATCATTCACCAAAACTCTATCCAGCCTCTCCCAAATCTTCCCCCTTCTCCAAGTGTACTTAGGGCCAATAAATCCCAAATCAAAAAGTCTGGCTGACTGAATGTTTTCATTGAAAATGTTCATTAAATTGATATCAGGAGATCTCCCACCCTTCTTCTCACTAGGTGAAAAGATGCAGTTGAAGTCACCCCCAACAATCTAGAAATCCTTTATAGAATAGCTGAAATCTTGTAACTGTTGCAAAAGTTCTTGTCTAGCAGTGGATGTACAGCTAGCATAAATGAAGGTAGCAAAACCATTATAGTAATTTAAGTTAATCATCAAGTGGATAAATTAATCTCCCTCTATTCTATAAGGGATTTCTGGATTTCAGTGCCTAACCAAATTTCCACCACAGCTGGTAAAAGTGATATTTCTTTCAACTAGAATTCTAGCTACTGAGGGTCTGGATAAGTTGAAGGTGGGGAACATCCAACTTCAAAGGTCTTCCCAAAGCTTTGCTAATGTTGAAGAGAACTTTGTGGTTGAAAATGGTTGAAAAAGTGTAGTTTAAGTAGTGTAGTTTAAGTCCAGGTAACCTAAACCAAATGGGGACAATGGGAAGTTCTTTACTGGGGTCAAAATCAAGAGTCCACTTTAGTAGTGTCACTGAGATTCCTTCAATCAAAATGGATTGTTTAGAAAAGATTCTAGCATAGTCTTCTTCCCTTGTGAGATTGATGAGAATATGCCTTCCATCAAGTAGGCCTACTTTCCAGGCCCCTTTAAATTTCAGTCCATCAAAATATCTTCTCACAGATTCCATTTTAGGATGGCCTAGTTAAGATTTACCAATTGAGGTGAATTTATAACATTCAGTAAAACCATTTAGGTCCTCTTCAGTAAAGTAGATAGCCAATATCCCACTTTTCTTGCATATAGGCTCGAGGAGAGGGTCATTACCTTCATGATACTCTTGAAGAAAAACCAAATCATCACGACTCTGAACTTTATCATATCCTTTCCCAACAATATCAGCAAAAGTGGCCTTGGCCCACTGAATATTTGTGGAAATATCAATTGTATTAGGGTCAGAAATCACTGAAAGATCCGAGTACAGAAACTAGCAAAAGGGGTCAGAGCTGTGGAATTAACACTGAGTTGTCGATTTTAAGTAACTGAGTAATAAATGAAGGAGTAGAGCAGCAAAGGCACAGTAGAGACAAAGAAGTAGAGAGAAATCCAAGTAACCAGAAAACCCACACAGTAGAAAGAACAACCCAAGCAACTAGATAAACAAACAACAAACAGTGGGGCTAAGCAATGGAACAATAATATTTGAAAAAACCAAAACCCGGGAAGAGGTAAAGAGTTAGGGAAAAGTAGAGCTTGCAAAAACTAGTGATGATAGGAGAGAGAACTAGTTGAACTTAATGAGGTAGCAGAGATTAGGCCATCTACAGTAACAACTAGATCCATTTTGTTGAAACCCTAGCAAGAACCAGAGAAACCCCCCGCCACGCACGTTATATTTTATATATATATATATATATATATATATATATACACACACACACATGTGATTGGTGTCAAAGTGTAGGTCATAATTTAAAATAAAATGAAATGCCTCTAAATTTTAATTTGGAAATTAAAATTTTTGATGCATTGGAATTGGATTTTATGGGATCATTTATACCTTCATTTGGAAATGTGTATATATTTATTGAAGTGGATTATACTTCAAAATGGATTGAAGCAATTGCTTTACCTTGATGTGATGCTCCAAGTATTTCAAAATTTTTAATTAATAATATTTTTACAAGATATGGAATGTCGAATGTAATCATTACCGATGGAGGATCTCATTTTAGAAATGCAATAATTGCAAGATTGGTAGAAAAGTATAATATAATGCATAAAATTGCATTTGCTTACCATCTCTAAACTAGTGGTTTGGCAACAATATCTAATAGTGAAATTAAAAGAATTTTTGAAAAAAGTCTTAATAAAATAGATTGGTCTGCTAGATTAGACACTGCATTATGGGCATACAAGATAGCATATAAGACATATTTATGAATGTCCCTGTATAGATTAATTTTTTGGGAAGACTTGTAGAATTGGAGCATAAAGCTTGTTGGGCTATTAATAAATTCAATTTCAATTTAAAAGATGCTGGTGCAAAAAGATTAATGTAATTGATTGAGCTTGAAGAAATTAGGAATAAATATTACGATAATGCTAGGATTTATAAGGAAAGAATGAAAGAATAACATGATCAGAAGATAATAAAAAAGGAATTTGATCTTGGACAAGAAGTTTTATTATACAACACATGATTGAAATTATTTCAAGGAAAACTGAAGTCTAGGTCGAAAAGGCCACTCAAAAGTGTAAAAGTCTATTCTTATGGAGCTGTTATTATTGAAGATCTTAAGAATGGAAGGATATTTAAAGTGAATGAGCACATATTGAAACCATATTTTGATGGTCAAAGACCAGTGTTTAAAGTGACTATAATGTTGGGTCACCTAAAATAATGACTAGGAATGTGGGGCTGACGACAGTAAACCAAGCGCTTTGTGGGAGACAACACATATTTATCATTGTTTATTTTAATATGTTTTTTTGGGATAATTTAACATATATTTATATTTGTACTTTTATAGATTCTGTGTATTTGAGAAATTTGACATTAAGAAAATATTTAGAAACATCTTTATTTACCTAATTTTATGGAAGAATTGAGAATTTATTGGATCAAAATCGAAATGGCAAATTTTTTGGAACTAGCGCATAATTCGCCAAATTGGGGTCTAAAGCGCCACATTCTAGAGAGCTAGCACCTGAATCGCCAAAATCAATGCCTGAGGCAACGCAGTGATGAAAATGACTTAAAACATTTCAAAAGGTGGCTTTTCAGATTTTTGTTAGGTTCTTCTCCTTATAACTCCCAAAAACTGATTCCAAAGTTCATTTTAGGGGGGAAACGAGGGAAGAGGGGGAAACCAAAGTTCATTTTAGGGGGGAAACGAGGGAAGAGTCACTAGTTTTCAATTCATATGGCTTCCTACTCTAAAAGTTTCGCTAGATTTAGAATTTTCACTGGAGAAAGTTCAAAAGTTTTGATGCGCAGAAGTTACATGATCGAGTTTTTGTGAAGAAGAGGTTAATCAAGGAAAGGGGATTTTTGAATTGAGGATTAAACACATTGATTATTCGAGTGAAAGAGATTATTGCGTAGATACCCTGTGGTGAAAGAGTTTTAAGCAATTCTACAAGGAATCAAGCAAGTAATTGTTTATGTGATAGATAATTTTGTGCAATTCACTCCTTCAAGAATAAATGAGATGTTTATGATTGAAACTGTTCACATTTTCTATTATGCAAATTTTACCCCTACAAGAAATAATATGAATGAACTCTATCAATATCTTATGAATGAAGATGCAAATTGGGAGGCCATAGATGATAGAAATGTAAGTTTTTTCTTCATCATTGTTAAACTCTACATAAGTTTTTCTTCATCATTATTAAATCCTTCATCTATGGCATGACATTTCTTTTTTGCATCAAAATTACTCCCTACTATGAAAATCAGTAAGGTAACTAAGGAGAGTGCTACTATGAATTATTGTATTCAAACTGAAAAACCTGTTGATATTGGTGCAATAATTGCCAAATCGGTTTTGGGTTTGATTGTCAATGGATCTGCAACTGAACTGGGACATCCATCCCTAATTTTTGTACTATGCAGTCAATCGCAAGTACCTTATGAGATTTGGGAGAAAGTGCTTCTTTCTTTGAAGTCGATGGACCCAGAAGTTTATTACAACTGTATTGGAATGAGAGATGAGAATGATATGATCATACTGATGGATCAAGCATCCCAGAATTCATCACCTATTTAGCCTTTCTTCAGTTTGAAAGTACTCTTGAAAATGATCAAGAATATAGTGAAAGAGGTACAAAACCTTATGAATGCAATTGGGACTATTTCTGAAATGCTGGATCATCAAGATTGGAAGCTGAGGGAACGTTTTGAACATACTGGATGTATCTAAGATGGTTTGGTACGTATGTTCAAGAAACATGCTTGGATTGAGAAAGATTCAACTGACGAATTTCCTTGTCGACCCTTCTACAACTTGTACGTGCACTATGAATCCATGGGAGATATCCAGGAGGACGAGAGCGAAGAAGATGTTTGAACTTACTTTATGCAAGGAATGTTTCGTCTTGTACTCATTATTTTAATTATTTTGTTGTGTTGGATTGCATTTACTTTTGTTGTTGAACTCTATTTATTTTTATGTTTGGTATTTCAATGGTTTAGAATTTAGTGTTAGGATTTTTAGTTTGCTTTGGACAATGAATTAGTTGTTTGTTGGCTCAAAAAAATGTTAGTTTGTAATAGTGCAGATTTTATATATAAAAGTGAGTTTTGTGTTGTTTGTGAAAGTTTGGTGTTACATTAGTGTAAAATTATGAGTATAAATTTTTGTTTGACTTAATTAGAGGTTGACATAAAATGGTACATAACAGATTTCCTCAAAAAGCAAAATCTGGAATAATTAACGTGTTGAATCATGATGCGCCAAAATTGGTGCCTAAAGTGTTGGTTGAGAGAGAGTTGGCACTGGATGTGCCAGATATTGTGCCTGAATTGCTAAATTCCTGAAAATGCCAAATTACCTAAAAACTTGTAAAATCGCCCATCAAAACTACATTTTTACCACTTGGGTCGTCTCCTACCTCTAAACCATGACCCAGGGCTTCACATTGTGTGCGTTAGAGAAAATTTTGAAGGCCAATTATCATATATTTCATATTCTCTTGGTAAGAGCTTCACTTTAACCTATAAATTTTTTATTTTGACCATGGATATTTCCAACATTATGGAAGATCCGAACTTTGGGAGTTTTGTTGGAAAAACTTGAAGAAAACACAAAGTGAAACTTTTCTTACAAAATAATATTACTTGGTGAGTTAGATTTTTTATTTTGTGATTTATTTTGATTTTATTTGAACTTTCATAGAAATTCTGATGGCTCCATGAGTAAAGAGAGGGAAGCGAATAGGAGATTTTAACTCGAGAAAATTTGTCAATTTTAAAGACCAATATTTTTTTAATACTCAAATGGAATCAAAAAAGCTGATCTAGGAACGAGATTTTGCTGACCCAAGTGGTGATATTAAGAGGTTGATCATCGCCAAAAATTGGGAGAGGTTTTGCTAATTCACTGTAGTAGCGATTTTGCCTTTGAGTCGGGAGTTTTATCCCAACTTGTGCTTCACCATTGACGATCACATCCTTGTGAGAGGTAAGTAAGTTCGCTTTTCTATAGATAGGATCAATGCTTTGATGGGCTGAGGAATGCATTTCATTGTGAATATGCTGCATTCATGATCACTGATTCATCACTAGATGAAGTGATTTCCTTTCTGACTGATGAAAGATTTAAAATAATAAGATAGTTAACTTCTTTGTTTTCCATGATGACTATTCAGTCAAAGATATGACACCACTTCTTCTATGCTAAATTAATGTCAAAAAATCATCTGAGTGAAGTAACAAAGGATAGAGCTATGCTAAATTTGTGCATTCAAAAAAAGAAGGCAGTAGATGTTGGTGCTCTTATAGTTCATCATGCTCAGAGTATAGTTAGTAGTGCTACAGCTAGTGGTTTGGGTAACCCTGCCTTGATTTTCATTTTATGTGAGTAATCAGGAGTAGAGAAATCTTATTGAGAAGTATATGATTCAAAGAGTTGAATCATTTGTTGAGTCCAGGAGTGGAGGTAGTGGTAGACCCTCAACATCAACTGCAGGGGCATCTACTTTTTGCTCTGCTTCACTTGAAAATATTATGGAGTAGCTCATGATTCAACAAATAGATATTGTGAATATGCAGAATAGGATAGGAGGAATTGAAGGAAGGAAAGCTTACAATGATGAATCTAAGCATAGGAGACTTCAGCATGATATAGCTTATGAGGAGGCTATGGTTAGATATCTTAGGGGTGAGTATACGGTGGAATCTTGAACTTCTCCCAACTTCACTCCTTATGCTCTAGATTATGAAAAAGAAGAAGAAGAAGAAGAAGATGATGATGATGATGA